CCTCCAAAGCCCTTGCGTCTCAAGCTCCCCCTTCCATTCCTTCAGTTACCTTAGTATACTCCATGGCAAACAGGCAAGGAACAGGAAGCCCATTCATGTCTAGACCAATTTGAGTTGAGTTTTCTGTTACTTGCCACAAAGTATACTAAGGTAGCCCATGGCCTACGAAACTGCAAAGTCCAGAGATAGATTGTGCTTCAGAGTTAGTTGATCTAGTAGTTGAATAATGTATCATAGACCCTGTTTGCCATACCCAGTGTCAGCTTCATTCTAGGGTCTGGATTTCTACATAGTTATAAAACAAAAGTTGTATCCATTCCCCTAACATCTGGTGGGAGGCAGTTGCTTCCGGGTACTTTCTCAGAAAATTCAGTAAATTCTTTTTCTGAAACTCTCAACAAACCTCTCCTTGCTTCTCATTGGGCCATATAGTATCACATGCCCATCCTTGAACCAATAACTACGGCCAGGAAGTAGGATTATGCTGACATGTGTAAACCTGAGCACAAACCTTTCTCTTCCAATCAGGAGTGGGTCAGTTTCCCCAAAAGCACATGGTGCCACAGTTGGGATGGAGGGGGAGCCTGGATAATGAGGAAGGAAATAGGGGAGATACCAAGAGAAAAGGGAACAGATCTTGGGGAGATAACCACAATATCTTCTATGCCTACCTAGCTATATGTAAGCCAAAAGTTTATTTCCTGCTTAAACTATTTTTTTAAGATTTTATTTATTTATTTAACAGAGAGAAACACAGCGAGAGAGGGAACACAAGCAGGAGGAGTGGGAGAGGGAGAAACAGACTTCCGGCTGAGCAGGGAGCCCGACGCGGGACTCCATCCCAGGACCCTGAGATCGTGACCTGAGCCAAAGGCAGACGCTTAACGACTGAGCCACCCAGGCGCCCCTCCTACTTAAACTATTTTATGTTAAGTTTCTTTCCCGTCTTGAAAATGATTAATGATTAATTCAACGAGGAGTATCTTGGTACTTGTTCTGGCTGTGCCATTTCCTAGTTGTGTGACTTTGGGCATGTCATATAAGCCACCTATACCTTAGCTTCTTCTGTAAAATAAAGGTTAATAACATCTGCCTGACAAGGTTGCTCGGAGCTCCAGTGAGATGGGAGATATGAAAGCATCTTGTAACCTATAAAGGGCTAAAGAAATGTGAGGGCTCTTTATTAGCAGTAGCTTTGTTGGTGCCACACCCTGGAGATCAAGTTGCTCTTTTTAGTGAGCAAATTCGATGCTCCCACCTGGCTCAGAAATGCTAAATTGCTAACAACCTCCCTAAGGTTTTACCCTCTTTCTTTTTCATAAGAGACCTCTCTGAGCTGCTAAGAGCCAGAGTTGGAGTAAATTATCGGGTTTTCTCCACTGCTCTGGAAAAGAACCAAGATGTGTACAGGTCATTCTAGTCAATCCAAAAGCACTTATTCAGCACCTTCTGGTGTCTCCTACTGTGGTAGGTATAAATATAACCGTAACAACCTGTTAGTGTGAATTATCACAGAGAGAACAGCTCTCAATGCAGCTGGAGATTAGTTAAGCAGCGAACATTGTGCTATCTTCCAGGCATTATGCAAACTCTAATCAGTGTAAGGACTTTTTTGAGTTGACTGTGATAAGAAAGAAAAGCACTGAAGGAAATGATTATATGGTTAGGAATTTGGCAAGGTTGGTTTTTTAAGTAGATTGTAGACTGTATGATACCTGTGAATTTATGTTTCCCTCTCCAGGCCCCTAGAGATGAGAAATCTACTTTGAGAAAACAGTAACTTGATTCAATTTAATAAAAATACTCTCAGTACGCAGAATAATTATGGAGATATGGAGAAAGATTCTTTCTGCCTGCAACTGCATAAAACTATGAGAGTTAACTACGCTGAAATAAACTCAAAGTCTGATGCTGTAGCAGTTCTCACCAGGAGAACATCTCCCAAATTTCTCTCTTGCCTTCCCATTCCAGGGTATACCAGTGAGTAAGGGAAGGGAAGGATCAGGTCTGGGCAGTTTGATAAAAAGTGACCCCCAAACACACTTTGAGACCCACTGGTCTAAGATAGTGAGTTTTGCGTACCCAAGAGCCCCCATTCTCTTCATCCAGTGTTTTCTCCCATTATAGCACGGAAGCTCAAGGGATTAGTAACTTCTTGGTCCAGAACCCTAGAGCCAGCACATAAACTTGGAGCCTGTGTTTCTATACAGTTTTCTTTCCCACTGTTCCAAGCTGCTTCATGCTCTTTTTTTTTTAAAGATTTTATTTATTTATTTGACAGAGAGAGACATAGCAAGAGAGGGAACACAAGCAGGGGGAGTGGAAGAGGGAGAAGCAGGCTTCCCGCGGAGCGGGGAGCCCGATGCGGGGCACGATCCCAGGACCCTGGGATCATGACCTGAGCTGAAGGCAGACGCTTAACGACTGAGCCACCCAGGCACCCCTTCGTGCTCATTGTTGACATAAACCTCAACAGGGAGTATATAGGAAATATGTATTGCCCTTCTATTATGTTTAGTACACTATAATAGAACTACAAGATAAATATAATTATGCATATAAGTGTGTATGTATATATATCAAGGTCTTTGATTTTATTAGTGTTTTAAATCTAGTTAGGAAGACAGGATATATCCTCAAAAAGATTTAAACACAAAGGAGCATGTGCTTAGTGTCAAATGAGTGATTTAGACCAGTAATTGCAAGTAATTTGTTGATAATGAAGCAAATTTTGTAAATGATTTGCCTTTATAAAATAAATTTGAGCAGATTATAAGGATAATAAAGATATTCACATTTCCATATGCTTTCTTAAGCTGGGGAGAAAGGGGTTGAATTATATCCAGCTAGCCAGAAATGATAAATTATGCATAACTAAGTGTTTCTATGGGGATATGAAGAAAAGGCTGAGAACCGTTCATTTTTACACAGAACTTTGGAATTTCCTAATATAGACAGTTACTGAAGGCTAGTGATTTTGGAAATTTTTGTAAAGAAAATGAGAGTAGAATTGCATTTTGATTGAACTATAGGACTTAAGCAGACTATAGAGAGATTGTGGGGAGTGGGAGGAAGGGTTCACTCCAGGCCCTAGATATGTCAAGTAACTGTATGATTTAGAGCAAGGGAAACTAACATTGGATAAATAATTGTCATATGACAAGGAGTTTGTTAGATACTTGGCATATATCATTTCATGTAATACTTAGGAGAACCTGAGACAATTGGGATTACTTTCACAGTTTCCCAGATAGGAGACTGATTTCAGGAGAGAAAAAGTAAATTGCCCAAAGTCAACCAACTAGGAAGTGAGGTAGATTAAATATGGCCACAAATTATTTTCAGCTGTCACCAAGACCACCATGCATCTGGAGGTTGAAAGGCCACATGGAAGGTGCCCAAGCAAAGCCAGACACGTAAGTGAGGTCATGACAAGCCTTCTAAGCCCCCACAGACTCTCCAGCTGAATGCAGCCCTGTGAATGAGCGCAGGTGAAACCAGAAGAGGAACTGATCAGCTGACCCACATAAACATGAGAAGTAGTAAATTGCTATTGTTCCAACTGCTGTGTTATGAAGTGATTTGTTACACAGCCCTAGATAACTGAAACAGCCAAGCTTTGACTTTAGGCTTTTCTTGTTCCAGTGCTGGTATTCTTTCCATGACACATATTACTACTTTGTTATTGATAACATAGGAGTATTTGATAAGATAATCTATAAGCCTCCTTTGAATTTTTAATAGAATGACATTCTAGATGCATGGAGTTGGGAAATCCAAGATGTGTTTGGAGAGCAGGAGGGGGCCAGTCTAAGTAAGAAGGTTATCGTCAAAGAGGTAGTAGAAAGAAAATCTTATAGTATAGTGATTAAGAGCAAAAGCTGGGTTTGAATCCTAGGTCCACCTCTCAATAGCTTTGTGCAAGTCACAGAACCTCCCTGTGTCTTGGAATTCCCATTGTGAAAAGGTAATGAAAATAGAACCTTCCTCCTAGGGTTGTTGTAAGAATTTAATGAGATAATGCATGTATTAACTTAGAACACCTACTGACTCACAGTGAGAACTCAATATCTGGACACCAAGTAGACTAAGGAAGACACCGGAGGCAGAGAGTCCAGCCTGCCCTTGAGGTGACGGTAATGTCAAAAAGGCAGTATTTGGTGATAATGCTTGCCTGTGGCAATAGCAGGACCCTTCTAAACATTTAAGAATCTTGGAAACTTTTGTGGATGGACTGCTGATTTATTTATTTATTGTTTTTTTTGCATCTCCATGTTAGGAGCAGAGAAAATTTTCATTATAATGATAGCTGGTATAAGGACTTCTTTTAACATAAGTCTTTAACATATACATAATATGTTCAACTACAAAGTATTCACAACTTTTTGTCTAGCTGGCCACTACTATGCAAAAAATTAGGAATCATGGAGTCAGAGTTCTAGTCATTCATTCAGTAAATATTTATGCAGCATTTGCCCTGTGCTAGGCTCTTTGCTGGGCCCTGGGGAAAATAATAGTACAGAGAAACAAGAATGGTTTTTGCTCTCGCTGAAATTACAGTGGAATGGGGAATTTGAGACAAAGTAAGGAGGCAGTTACTGTCCAGGGGGATGAATATTTTGTTGGGGAAAGTTTGGGATACAGTGGGGGCTTGTAGGAGCTACTTCTGACCCAGACTGAGGAGAAAGACCAAATAAAATATATTTCACTTCCTGAAATAAAGTAACCTAAATGGATAGCTGAGAGATAAGTAGAAGTTGGCCAAGATGATGCCTGAAAATTGGCCACAGGTTTAGTTTGTTTAAATGGTGTGTTCACCTTGAGGAGTAGTGTAGGGAATGCTGCATAGTTGGGAGAGGTGAAGGGTTCCCTCTGGTATTAGAATTTTATTCCTGACAGCTAAGGAGAGGACGCCAGCAGTTGACTGGGACCTAGAGGTGACTGAACAGTGATATAATAAAACTGACCTAGAAATTAGAATTTCTGGCTTCGGTGTGGTCATGTTTCTCCAGTATTACCTCAACAAGCAGGGAGACCGAGTCTATACGCTGAAGAAGCTTGACCCTATGGGACAACAGACCTGCTCAGCGCATCCTGCTCGGTTCTCCCCAGATGACAACTACTCTAGACACCGAATCACCGTCAAGAAACGCTTCAAGGTGCTCATGACCCAGCAACCGCGCCCTGTCCTCTGGGGGTCCCCTAAACTTCATGTCTCTTCTGCTACCCCTCAGAGACTTTCCGAAACCAAGCTCTTCAAACTGTGAGCATTGAAGCCTTCTTAGCACCCTTGCTCTTTGGAATCCGGTTTCATCGTTGCCCTTGATCATGCTTGTGTAAATCCATCATGGTAGCATCCCTCTTTTGAATCTTCTTTCCATATTTTGAATCACTGCTAGGTTATTAAAATGATTTGAAAAGCTAAAAAAATAAAAAATAAAAAAAATAAATAAAACTGACCTAGAGAAAGCATTTGAATAGGTGACCCAGAGAGACAAAAGAATGGAAAAAGGGTGAGATTAAAGGATAGCTCATATTTCAGGTTGTAAATGTTCAGATAAACAAAGACTGGTATTAATGGGAAAAACAAGTGTCAGATGACATGAAGTCTGATCTTGGTTTGACCATTAACTGCCTTTCAGTATATGGTGTTAGTTAGAAATAGTCCCTCTCTGAGACTGATTTCTCCATCTCCAACCTGTATGTGTTAGACTACAGTTGCCTCGAACAACACGGGTATGAACAAGCACGGGTCCAACTTATATGCAGATTTTCTTCAGTAAATACAGTACAGTACTCTAAATGTATTTTTTCTTCCTTACAATTTTCTTAATAACATTTTTTCTTTTTTGTAGCTTACTTCATTGTAAGAATACAGTATATAATACATATAATGTACTAACAATGTGTTAATTGACTGTTTATGTTATCAGTAAGGCTTCTGGTCAACAATAGGCTTTTAGTAGTTAGGTTTTGGGGAAATCAAAGTTATAACTCAGATTTTTGACTGGGTAGGGTGTCCGTGCCCTAACCCCTGTGTTGTTCAAGGGTCAACTGTATTTGAAAGGAGACCAGAAAGGAATGCTACAGAACAGAAAGTGAAAGTGGTCGGACTAGCTGAATAGTATTCCAATTCGGTAACATTGTCATTTGAGCCCCAACCTGGCCAAAGCACAGAAGATTTTCAGATCTGATGTTGAGCAGGTGAAGTCAGGATTACCAGTTCTCTAAAGGGAACTAAGCTTTCTAGACTTATAGCTCGCTCCTCTGATTATTCGTTGAATGTTTGTGGAGGAAAGTGGACTGTGATTTTTACTTCGTTGCCTGTCTCTCTCCCTGCTCTTGTCACCCTTCTGCTGTTACAAGGAACTCAGAGAAGGTATATGAAAAAATGAGCCTAGAGGCGCAGAACCCAAACCAAAGCCTAGTGAATGCAAATGTTCACATTTCAGGTCTCAGTGTGGGAATGATCTTTAGAAAACTGTAGTGGACATCTATTGTTCTGGGTGGCTGACACCCCATCTTTTCATCTTGGGACACTAACCTCCCTTCTCTTTGAACCCTGATTCCCCCACTCTAATCATGTGGTTCCCATAGGGGCTAGAAATCATAGTATTCCTCACCCTTGGCACAGAAGTAATGTGTCACTCAAACCAGGGCAAAGGGAGATTTTGCAAATTGGGATTAAGAGAAGGGGTTCAGTCCTTCTCAGATAGCAACACTGAGATGGAGTCAGAAGCTAGTGGTAGCCATGGCCTTTGCTGCACAATGAAAAAGTATTGCTTGACCCAGAAATCTTTGTTTTCTGTTGGCAGTGACTCCATACTGTGTTCAGAGATAAGGCTGCTCCTGGTCCTGGGCCCCTCATAGGTCCAGCTCTCCTGAATCAGCCCCTTACTTCTCCTGCTTAGTATTTTTACAGTTTACTAAGTGGTACTTTTAAATTGCTTCTCCTGGGGCACCTGGGTGGCTCAGTCTTTTAAGCATCCGACTCTTGATTTCAGCTCAGGTCATGATCTCAGGGTCATCAGATTGAGCCCCACATCAGGCTCCACGCTGGGCGTGGAGCCTGCTTAAGATTCTCCCTCTCCCTCTCCTTCTGCCCGCCCCCACGCACACTTGTATGCACGTGCTCTCTCTCTTAAAAAAAAAAAATTGCTTCTTACAATGATCCTTTATGGTAGACATGATGTTTTATATCAAGGATACCAGGGTGAAGTGACCTGCTGAAAGTCACATAGTATGTAAGAGGTAGAGCAAGGTCTTGAATCCAGGATGTTCAATAAATACCAATAAATAAATAAAATGATGCTAGAGCCAAGCACCATTCTCGGGCCTAGGGTACAGTGTGGAACAAGACACAGTCTCTGCTGTCATGAAGCTGATAAAACAGTGTGAAAACAGACCAGTAAACAGGCAATTAGAATAAAGTGTGGTAAATGCAAACACAGGGGGAGTATAGTGTCCCTTCTGAAGCAGGGGAGAGTGGCACTAGACCCGATCTGAGTTAGGAAAAGCTCCACAGCAGGGTCACTGCTGGCCTATATGGTACCTGTCTGTGAATCAGGAAAAAAGGTGCCCTTTCCTCAAAATACTTAACTGCCAACTGCGAGAAAATTGTAATAAAAATATATAAATCTGTAATATCTATGCTGCGATTGGCACACCCTAGTTATGTGCAGTATGCCACCTGCACAGCTGTGTGTGGCACCCTGCTTCCCAGAGGAAATAATGTTTAAGCTGGAATCTAAAGGGCAAAAGTGAGGTGGCAGACTCCCTACCTGTAGGCCCGTGGCATGTCCTGGAATTGGGTCTGCTGCCAAACAGGCCGTTGTTTATTTAGGCTGCACGGCCCTCCTGTGGCTGCTCTTGTGTCCTCATAGACACTGCACCCTTTCCCTTCGCTTTAGCCTGCTCTCCCAGGGAACCCAGAGCTCTCTCTCCCTGCAGGTCATACAATATCCCCAGACCTGTTTGTCTTCCAGAGACTAGGTTAAGAGTTTGTGTTTCTGGACAGTAGCCCTCAGTGGTGCTTAATTCGAAAAGGAAGAAACCCCAGGAGAAAACCTGATCCTCTCTGGGAGGGGCTAGCCTGGAGGGTACAGTATCTGAAGGCCTGCGGATTATGGAGCCTTCTCCTGATTGGCTGCTAATTATGCCATCCCCTTGACTGCAATTTTTTGTTTTTGATTTTTAACTGTGGTGCTTAGCTCAATAGGAGAAATAATGAGAAGGGAGCATGGAACCCTGTTGCTCTGAGAATCCTAAAATATCAGACCTGAAAGAAATCCCATGGTATGCTCCCCCCCCCCGCCCACCCCCGCCCCAGCATTCCTATCTAAGTGAACATAAACAGCAAATGCAGACTTAAAAGAGAGTAGAAATGGCTTGGTTTTGTAAGAGAAAATGGAAGCGTTCAGTAAAGGACACGGACAGCTCCATCTTACTGGCTTTGGTAATATTGGGAGTTCATGTGTTGCTGGAATGTATATGAATATTAGATATTTTAGAACCAGCTGACAGGGGAGCTATTTTCCTTCCCAGATCATCTGCACCTCTATATAAAGATAGAACAGAGTCACATTTTGATACCCTGGATGTCTTGATCATGAATTTAGCTCCACTTTTGAGATGTTACTAGTCCCCATTCCTACACTCTACTGCTTATCATAATGCTTGTTATATTGTGTTATGTTGTGTTGTAATTTTATGTATATTATATATTATATTATATTATTCCTGGGTTTACTGGAAATTCTTTTCATTCTACACCCCCTCCCTTTCATGCCTCTCTGCAAACTCTTCCAAGATTAATGTAGGGAAGCTGTTAAAATCTTAGACTGTTCAAATGGAAGAACATTAAAGAATGTCTGGCCTAGTTCTGCAGATCACAGCTAAGGAGCACAGGCCCAGGGGGGCATTGAATGACAAAGGTCAGCCAGGGAGTTAGAGACAGAGGTTAAATGTCAGGCCTGGTGTTCTTTCCACCACTGACACTATCTCTCTTGCCAGGTGATTAGGTTGGGATGAATTTTGGCATGGTTCTGAAAAGCCCAATGTCTTATCTTTCTAGCTATAAATCCCTTTTTCCCAGGTCCTTCCTGTTCCCTCCCTTGTCTCTCAAATTTTGAGTCTGATCCAGGAGCCCCAACAGGTGTTGGGCCTGCCTCTAGGTGAATCCTGAATCTTGGCTGGCAGGCTCCTGAGGGTGGAGCATGCCCTTGTGCCACCCGATAGGCTACCAGATCAGTTTCAAGGTCTCTCTGGTAACTTCCAAGGCCAGTTCTCCTTTGTCCTTGGAGAATCCAGTGATTAGCATGAGAAAAGTCTTCAAGTCTCCTCTGAGCTACCCAAGGGTGAGGGATATTTTATTGCTAACCTGCCTTGAGCTCCCTAAGGATTTTTCTCTTTTGTACTAAGCTTGACACAGTATTAATATACAATAGACGCTATTAAAACATGCCTGTTGGAGGGGCACCTGGGTAGCTCAGTCAATTGAGCGTCTGCCTTTGGCCCAGGTCATGGTCCCAGGGTCCTGACCTGAGCCCCGCGTTGGGCTCCCTGCTCAGCGGGGGATCTGCTAGTTGGTAGAACTTACCATAAGTCTATTTTTCATGAGGGCTTTAGGTCTCTCCTGGGAGGGAACTTATCCTAAGGAAAGTGAGGAGATAGGCAATGTGGGTCCAGAATAGACTTCAAAATCAAAGAGGAGTGAGTCTAAGTCCAACGTATCATAGACTGGTTTCCTGGCCTCGATGCAGCCCTACCTCTACCCCCCACCGTTGGCACATGCTAAGTAATTTCTGGAGGGGAATGGGGGTGAGGAGGAATCAGAAATATAGAAAATATAGAAAAGCTGCTTTACTAAAAACTCCGAGTCAAAGGGCATAAATAATTCTTATTGAAAGCCCATGTGACAAAGTATAGCATGATCAGGGGAGAAAGGTAGTCTTTCCTCTGCACAATCCGTATAATGGGTTCTCTGTACTGTGGACTCCTGAAGGGTCAATGTCACCTGGCATCTCATCAACACAGCATGTGAGAATCACTGTCTGGGTCTTCCAGAAATTAAAAGGAACATTTCCCAAGGAGTTAGGATAACTTTGTCAAGAGGTAGAGGCAAGAGCTTGCAAAACTATACACAAATTTGAATCACAGAGTAACAGAGCTGAGAGGAACTATAGAGATTATCTAGTCTACTAATTCTCAAACTGTTTCAGAGAAATTCTCAAAGGCCTGGGGAGGGGGAGAGAATGCTACAGACAAAATATAAATGTGTGGTAGGTCAAAGAAGGGAGAAATTGATTTGACGCAAGAAGGTTTTCAATAAAAGTAAGG